TATCCAAACCTCTTCCAGAGACCTCGGCGCTGCACAACCAGTGGATGAAGTCACCGCCACCGGACTGCTCACTCAACCACAGAGAATGCAAATATCACTTATCCAAACCTCATCCAGAGACAATGGCATTGTTGTATATTATCCGTATATGATTTTTTAAATTTACATTAGATATTATATAGCTGATTGCAGTTGATAACAAATAATCTTTCACGTATTTGTTTGATGCATAATAAAATTCTTCACTTTATTTGTTTCAGAGTAGCAGCAGTTTATCTTTCCAGATAACGTAGCTCTGACATAGCAACACCCAACTTAATCAATTGCATTTTATGTATTTTATGCACTTTATTCCTTTTTCATTCATGGTATTCATTTAGTAGTTGTGTCTATCTTTTGTTAATAAAATCTATTTTATTATACTTGTGTCTTCCTTGTGTTGATGATACAGAAAGAGGTTCTACAAGTTAGAGATCCCATCAATCTTTCTTATGTGATGTACTCATAACCACACCTTAAGTGACACGTGATCCAAATTTCACACAATGTTAAGCTAATGTAACGATCAACATTATATGTCAACAGAACTCACCAAAATAATGTTCACAACTTTCTTTTTAGATTGTGTGGTCTACAACACTAATGCCAACCATGACAGAAAGGAACCTAGTTAGTGTTTAAATACTATGTAATGTGGGGTTTGGGTTTTGTTTCTTGTTCATGTTTCCATGTCTTTTATTTTGTAGTTTAGTCATGCTCCCTGTTTGTGTCATGCTTCCCTTGCCCTCATGTATTCATGCCATTGATTCCCCTGTTCATTGTGTCATGTTCTGATTGGTTGTCTTAGTCATGTGTCTTGTTTCCCATTGGTTTGTTCTTGTCATGTGACCCTCTTGTCAGCTATAAGTAGCCATCATGTTCCCATTGTGCCCTTGTCGTGTATTGATGTTGTAACCCGCTGTCGTCAAGTCTGTTCATGCCTCGTCAAGTCAAGTCTGTTCATGCCTCGTCAAGTCAAGTCTGTTCATGTGTCTCGTCAAGTCTGTTCATGTCTCGTCAAGTCTGTTCATGTCTCGTCAAGTCTGTTCATGTCTCGTCAAGTCTGTTCATGTCTCGTCAAGTCTGTTCATGTCTCGTCAAGTCTGTTCATGTCTCGTCAAGTCTGTTCATGTCTCGTCAAGTCTGTTCATGTCTCGTCAAGTCTGTTCATGTCTCGTCAAGTCTGTTCATGTCTCGTCAAGTCTGTTCATGTCTCGTCAAGTCTGTTCATGTCTCGTCAAGTCTGTTCATGCCTAGTCAAGTCAAGTCTGTTCCTGTCAAGTCAAGTCTCGGATTATTGTTTGAATCACTTGTAAATAAACTGCACTTGGGTTCTTCACTACGCTCGCCTTCAGTGGACTAATTTGTTACATACTAACAGTGCTTTACTATCCACATTTCAACAACGGACCAGTTGCGTTGGTTTGCACTTATTATATCATGTCAGTATATGTGGTGCAGCTCATTGTCCAAGCTCTTGTCATTTCAAGACTGGACTACGGCAGTGCTCAACTGGCCAGCCCTTTTATACAGCGCAACTAAGCCTCTGCAGATGATCCAGAACACGGCAGCACTGCTGGTCTTCAATCAACCAAAGAGGACCCACATCACACCTCTCCTGATCTCACTCCACTGACTCATAGTTGCTGCCAGAATCAGATTTGAAACTTTGACATTGACTTTCAGGACTGCCACTGGACTCGCACACTCCTACTTCAATGCACTCACATGTTATAGTCATAGAATGAGGGATGCCTTAATGTTCATTCAAAAAAAGGGACAAAGTCACTTTCCAAAACCTTCACATTCTGCTCCTCTCTGGTGGAATGAGCTGCCAACCTCAATCCGATCTACTGAGACCATCACAACTTTCAAAAAGCAGCTGAAGACACACATCTTCCTCAAGCACTCCACAACTTTAAACTTTAGGCACTTAGAAGAAAAAGTCCACTTCTTCTTTTCTGAACCTCATCTCTGTTCTAGCTTGTTTTCTAATCTTGCTTTCTAATACACCTGACATTGAATTCTACAAAAACTGCTGTGACGAATTGCTTGTGGTCCTTTATTGCAATATAAAAATCATCTGCCTAATGCATAAATGTAAAGTTTCATTTGTATTTTTGGAAACTGATTATTGTTTTAATATAGTTTCAGTATCAGATGGAATCATTTGTGGTGCCATCACATGTACAGTACTACACTTAATCAGAAGTTGCAGCATATTCAATACCATTAAAGTTTAAGCTAAAAGATTTTTTTTTTCCTCTCAAATTCCTAACAGATGCAGAACCGTAAAAGTGCCATCACGGCTACATTTAGCAGTAAATTGTGACTATCACTCTGACACCTCTGGAGCATGTATGATTCAGCAGACTGAACTGGATTCACTGAGATCTTGTGTCAGATGGCCTTCACCAGAGAACATTTAGTCACTGCAAAAAAAATAAATAAATAATGCTAAAGATTCTTGGAAATACATTGAAGAGATTTGTTTAAAGGGACAGTTCACCCAAAAATGTCTCAAAATATCTTTTTTATGTTGCATAGAAGAAAGATGGTTTTTGAACAATGTGAGGGTAAGTAATGATGACAGTATATTTATTTGGGGGGGCTATTTAAGGCTTTTGAACCAGACTGTACGTTAATTTGTGTTGTCTTTACAATGTTTTTACAGAGATGGCTGCAAAATTATGTTTACTACATGCTGGTTTATTATTGTGGTGTTGTTGATCTCAGATTTACCTGCTTCTAAATGTCATGTACATAAACTGAACTGTGGTTGGTTGTATTACACGCTATTTAGACGCATCATTCCTGTCCAATTAGGTTGTTCATTTTTGGCAGAACACGTTGATAGTCAGAAGTAAACCTTGGGAGATTAATTGCAAAATCTGATCATCCAGAAAATATGAAAGTGAAAGTCATACTTTCTGTAATTCTATTTAGTTTATATTTATCTTGTGAATTTTAAAAAGGATATATACTGTATATATACTGCAAAATCACATTTTTTAAAAACAAATATTTTTACTGCTAGATTTCTAGAGAGTAAGAGAGAGGCTCCGGGTTTTGACACTGCCCTGAATTTTCAACCTTATTTTTAGCATTGGTTTAAATATTTACTATAGATTAGATTAATTTTTTATCTGCACTATCTCACAGTTTCACAGGGCCCATTCATTCACAAGCTGCTTGAAGGAAACTGCCTCCTGCCTGCACTGACTGACAGCATGAGAGCAGTTAACGGTATGCTAATGGTATGTGTTCCACAATTAACACAGCAATGGTTTCAAATGTCATGTTTGAATGCTCGTATTGATCCATAATTATAAATACCATCAAGCTGGAGAAATGATGCCATGTTGAGTGCATACTTTCTGTGTATCTGTGGCAGTCCTGTGTCGATCAGTACACATTTTGACCACTTCTGTACTGTTTCTTAAGACGAGGCATGGATTCCTCTGCATGAGTCAGACAGAATGAGACCCCCTGTGTGTACTGCTCTTGTGTTTTTCACAGACATGCTTCGTTACATCTGGCTCGAGTGCACTTGAAGCGTGTGTCCCTGCTGTGTACATCTAATGTGATAATGTGTTTTTTATGCATCAGGTCTTACATGTGAACTCCTTGCAGACAGTGTTTATGTGCATCTTTTGAAAAAAAAAAAAAACTATATATATATATATATATATATATATATACACACAGTATATATATAAATATATATTAATAAACAAATAAAAAATATATACACAGTACACTCGTGCTAAAGTACAATACATTTTTTAAATAACCAAGAACATATATTACTTTTCAATATAATGGGTTCATTAAGATTTTTTTATGTTTTTGAGTCTCTTTTGCATGCCGAGACCACAATTATTTAATCAGAAATACAGTAAAATATGTAATATTGCAAAATATAAAAAAATATAAAAATATACTGATATGGCTCTGAAGAAACATTTCTTATTATTATCCAACAGTTGTTCTGCTTCATATTTTGGTGAAAACCATGATGCATTTATTTGAAAGAGAACAATGTAAAAATCTTTACTGTTTGATCAATTTAATTCGCCCTTGCTAAATAAAAGTTTTTTTCCCCAAAACAACTTACTGACCCCAGACAAACAGATTCTCTAAAAATCAAAGTTTTATGCAGTGTTGTTTCTAAATAAATGTATTCTTGTTTAAATATTTTTTTATATATTAGTATTTCTGCAATGTGATTCTTTACTAAATGATGCAAATGATCACACAATTAAAATTTGGTCATGATCTGGCTCAATTAGTTTTGATTCATTACTGTTTGCAAAACAAGATACTAAAAACACAAATGTAACTCGAGGTAAAAATTTATGCTATAGTGGAATAAGTTTTGCATCCACATTCTCAAGAATTGTATTTTACATTTTGGTTACATTTGGTATTATTACAATAAAAAAAATAATTATATAACGTACAATAATAATTATTCAATTCTGTAAATTATGCATTGAATTTCCATGCACACAGCGATACATTGCAATGCATTAATGTATTTTTACACCTCTTGAAAAGTGTCTTGGAAGTGTTAAAAATGAAAGCAGGAAATAAAAACCCTACATGGATGTTTTGAAGATTTATGCGCAGTATGTGAAGAAACTGTGACATTATTATTATTTTACATAAACCCACCACATTATCAAACGGGTCTGTGAAATCATACATTTCTATGGTTCTTATTACATTACGAATCAGCTTAGGAATTTCCTTCATGTGCATAAAAACATCAGATTTTTTTATACAATAAAATGGTTTTATCCATCTGTTGTTTAACTTGTTTTTGTCTCCTCATGACAGGAGAAATCAGAACAAGCAGCAGGAGACACGGGGGTGAAATCTGATTAGTTCAATGAAATATGTGCATTTGCGTGTAAACATTCGCTTAGCATGTGCAAGGACTTGTTTGATAAACTCACGTATGTTGTCGGTGCTCTCCTGTATGGTGTCGGTTTTGAGGAGGTTGTCTGCGAGCATGAAGGCGCCGGTCTCCACCGTATCTAGCAGCATGGTTGCGCATCGCAGCTGCTCGGCCACAGACAGCTCCCTCCACGCCGCTTGGGATCGCACCTGCAGAAGGTTATTCACCGTTTCTACCATGGCCTGCAGAACAGAGAAAAAGAGAGATGTCAGCATTCTGGAGTTGAGGGACGACTTCTGAACCCGCACGCACATACATTCTTACATCTGAACTTCACAATAAGGACATATTTCCCAAAGTGCCCACCTCTCCCATAAACCATTTCTCTTCCACTTTCACCCGCACTCACACACTACACGGTTTCTGTGCTGGAGTATAAACCTGTCAAACTGAAGAAAGATCCACAGGGAGCATGAGACATTGTGAAAATGAAAGAAGCTGTCATCATGCACACACACACACACACACACACACACATGCACAGGTTTCACACAAGGCAAGGGGTAATTTATGGGTCTATAAGAGCACTATATAGGAAAATTAAATGTCCCGGCTGTGCGGCGGAAACTAATATAAGGGTATTTTTAAAAAAAAGTGTGATATTAAGATATTAAGCGTTTTAAATTTGGCAGAGAATATCATCACAGGGATATTAAAACCTCAACCTTGATATACAAATGAAGGGGTAAGACTTAAGGTGGTAGTTTATTAAAAAGCTTGCTGAGTGTATCACGCCACATTACAATTTTGCTTTTCATTTGAAAAAGTGCAGCTTGCTGCAACATTAACATATGGACTACAATGATATTCACAAAGCAGGGCAGATATATTTGTCACTTTCACAAAAATGCTGTTAACAATAATTCCAGGTCAAATTCCATTCATTTTAAATAGATCATGTCTCTATGGAAGTTCATAACCTTGCATTATTATTACAGTTACAACACATATAAAGTGTATAATATCTGTGGCGAAGAGATATGTAATGTAATTAACTTCTCTCACTGTAGTGCACTCATCTGTAGGGATGGACAGAGAGATGTTTTGTCGTTTGTCTTTAGGTTGCTGCAGGCTAATCTGGCCATTGGGTTGAATCATTCTGCCCCAGTTACAGTACAGCGGTGTGTGTGTGTGTGTGTGTGTGAGACAGAGAAAGAGAAAGAGTGTGTTAAAGGCGGGATGAGTATATTCATTTTGACACCACTAAAGTAATGACCCTTTTACGAGAGAGAGAAAAAGGAGAGACAGAGATGAGAGACGACTGGGATAAAAGGTAAAAAGGAAGAGTTATATTTACTTCCTCACAAAACTGCTTATGAAATCTTCTGACAGAGTGTGTCAAGAGGTCAGGGGAAAGTATGTGTGTGTGTGTGGACTTGGGGGCTCACACTGCGGAGACAGATAAGAGATTTTTTAAAAACTCTTCTTATATTCTGTTTCCTCACACGCACAGTGGCAATACTCTCCACAGACTTGGTAAATGGAGCAGAACTGAAGTGCTTTGAAGCTGAGGAGCTAATCCAGCGTGAAGAGACACACACATACACACACTGCATTACATATTAGATGACCACTAGGAATCCATATTTGCTTGATGTCAGCACTGGGAGGCTTCAGACAGTTGTCATGGAATCCTGTCATTCTCTCTGTCTAAATCAGCAGGATCAATTGATGTTTTGATAGACTCGTTTCACTCAGCAGAGTATTTGAAAATAGAACTCTGTCATTTTTTGGATCAAGTTGCTCTGGACAATATGGCAGTCATCTCAGACTAATGCTACCTAGTGGTGTGGATGCAGGACCATGAAAAAGGAATAGATTTTGGTTATCGATGCCATTGTAAACAGAAACATGTCGATTTGAACTGGCAAGGGTTTGGGGGAGGGGGAGGGATTATAAATCTGAGAATTACAGAATTATTCTGTGAATACAGAATTGTAATGTGAAAATATTCTGTGAGATGACCTGCTCAAAATTAGGCTACTAATATGACAGGAGTCTTCGTCTCATGTTAAGATTTAAAACACGTTTTCCAAAATGATGATTCACTTGTTTAGGGGTAAAAATGTTTTTAATGAGGGAAAATTACCATGTGCACCTAACTAATAATAATAATAAAATGAAAATTATTATTTAATAATTAAATGGTCATGATTTTTGGTGTGTAAAAAGCAATGATAAAAACGAATCATGATAAAAACTGATAAATAATAAAATAAAATAAAAAAATTTATATAAAAAGTGCATGACTTCCGACTGCAGAAATGCATTATTCACAGCCATGATTCGTTTACTCTGTGAGCATAAGTGTACAATAATAGGTTGATTACAAGACAAACTGAGTAATATTCAACTAGTCATGTGATCTTAATTTGCCACCCCCAGATGACCTGCTCAATATAAAATAAATCAGGTCTTATTAGGCTGCTAATGTGACTGGGGTCTTTGTCTCAAATGAGTGATTTTAAACATATTTTTCAAAATTACTACTCATTTCTTTAGGGGTAAAACATTTTTAATGAGGAAAAATTACCAAGTGCACCTTTAAACAAACAAACAAAAAAACGAATACTCAAGCAACATTTAGACCTCAATTATTTAATGGAGTAAAAAAATCAGTATAAATCTGTCATGCATTTTTGAGCTGGCTAAGTTTGAGATATGCATCAGTCATTTTCTTCCTCTAAATCAGTTCTTCTCATGCTTTTCCTTTCGTTCAGTCTGCTGAGCTTTTCTTGAGCTTATCTACATTATTCTGTGCTTTTTTTCACTGTCTGCGTGTGTGTGTATCAGTCGCCTGATGTGACACTGCTGACCAGTGCTGACATCACTTCTGCTTTCTCAGGAGAAAAAATTGCTGCTTTTATAAATGCAAAAAATGCAGCCCACAGGCACAAGCGCAGACGCACAGACACACACAAACAACCAATATGATTCATATGGTGTGACAGATACAGCTCCACACAAGTATAAAGCAGTATTTATGTTGAAAACCTTACCCATCTATGTAGATGTTGAAGTGATATGGAACGTGCATAAAAAAAACCAATCACAATATTTGTGTGCCTACACACACACAACATGATAAATAAGGACAGAGTGAAGTACCTGTATGAAGAAACGGCACGACCGCTCTCTCTTCTGGAGCTGAAAGACACAATATTAAAATTACAATGACAATAACTCACATACAGTACACAAACACAACTCAACACATGAAAAATCAAAGCGCATATTTAATCATTCGGAGCCAAATAGGAAAAAAAGCCGAATTAGCTGAAATAATCTACAATCATTCAGTATAATAAGAGATCATAATAATATTATGTATCAGAGCAAAATTAGGAACAAAATTACTTAATATTACTGAGTTACAGTCACCATGTTGACTCAGTCAGACACTGTACCCACAAGACATTCCTACATGTCTGCCAGGGCAATAATACTGTAAATATATAAACAAACAACACTGAGATATACAAAGTCTGAATGGACCAGAGGTGCCTGACTGTGTCTTATTGCAGATGAGCTGATGTTTGTGTAATTGATAACTTTAGCTAGATGCTGGTAATAGGAAACTGACAGGCTGGCTGTTTAAAGTTTGTAAAGTGATATTCAGACACTACAGTGCTCAACTGGCCCTGAGAGAATGAATGAGATTCACTGGTCTAAGTTTAGACACGTGTGTGATTTTTTTGACAATAAAATGCTTTCTCCTATTCCAGCTTAATGTGCAGAGAAAGACAACCAGGAACTCTGTTTTGGGCCTTCTGATGTTCTCAATTGGTTTTGCTTCAGAACCCATATTTTGCCAGGACCAAATAATTTATTGTACAAATGTAAGCATAAATGTATTTAAATAAGATCATAAACTGCAAAGGTCCAACCACATGCAAAATATTTAACATGACACAAGTTCAATAGGAAAATTCACAATTTTGATTTGGAAATGTCTTGAATTTCAAAACTATTTGAAGTAATAGTTTTTTTAAGTAATCTATTTGAAGTAATTTGGTCTCAGCATATAGTAGTTTGTTTCTGCTTTTAGGATGAATGGATGTAAAGTATCTTTAACATGCTGTCATCTGTTTAATTCATCATAATGCATCATATAATAATTGCTGTTAATAGTGTTCATCGTCTGATTACGTCTTTAATTGATTTTTCCGTACATTTCTGCCATATGTACATTAACTGACAGTCCCCACTGATAAGCTACCACTAAATATTGTAGAAACTTAATTTGCTGTAAAGTTGCTTTGCAATGATTTGTATAGTGAAAAGCGCTGTACAAATAAACTTGAATTGAATTGAATTGAATTTAATTCAGCTTCAACCTAGTAAGATGAATTTGTGCCAAAATATTGTTGTTAATACAAGGTGTACACTATTAAACTACTAAATAATGCTGAATATAATGTATGATAATGCAACAGGGGAATTGCAATTTATTCGATTTATTATATGTCTGATTTTACTATTAAATAAAAACAAGTCTAAATTATTTTATTGGATAAATATGCAATATGCATATGAACAATAAGTGATCATTTTTAAAATGTACAATATGTCAAACTTTTTAAATGTATTAATCTCTGACATAAGCAGAATATGAATATTGCTATTTTGGTGTCACAATTGCCATGTGCACTGGGAACCAGCTCTTATGTAATATCAAATTCTACATTTTTATTAACTTTTGTTAACTGTTTAGCATATGTCTTCTTTTTAAATGTGTTTAGCATATTGTTACACCCCTAGTTAGTTGCATTTTATTATTTTCATTTAACATTGTTTTTTCCCCTGCTGTCCATAAACAGACCTGTGACTTGTTTTTCTGTCATGAACAACCACTTTTGATATGCATAAAATATATATTTCTGTGCATTAGACATCTGACAGGACGTTCATTATGTTTCTAACGAATTCATCTGTCTGTATGTGTAATGCTGTGCAGTCTGCATGTGTGTTACACCACTTTGAAGTTATTTTTTTTTGTTATTCTTTTATGTTGCGGCTTCTTTTGTTAATTGGAAAAACTCACCGGGGCTTTATGAGCTGTTTTAATTTGTGTGTCCTTATTTATAAGAGTGTGTGTGAGTGTAAGGATTTCTGTCTATCGAGCAGTAGCTGTTTTTAACAGGAAGTTTTCCCATTTGGGCCTTAAAGCCTTTGATCTGTGGACTGCCACAGGTTTATTGCATAAAACACTGTACTCTGCACAGAATTAGAGCACTTCTCTCTCTCCCACTTCTTTTCGCACAAAAATACACAATGAACTTTCTTAAACCTAAAGAACAGCAATGTAATTAACATGTAATAAACGTGTAATAATTGTGTAATTACTACCTAGAAAGTGTGTGTGGTTTATTAACAGCTTGAATACCTTGTTTAAGCTACGTGCTGCTGTGTCTTTTCCCCCCGGGGTGAGATTTCGCAGCTGTACGTCCAGCAGTTCCACCAGTTGTGCCATGGCTTTGACTGTGGAAGGAACATCTCCGGGTCTCAACTCTCCCTTCGTCTGTTCAGCCAACTCCCGTGCTACTATAGCAGCGGTTTCTCCCGATCTCATCTACAGGAAAAGAGAGCGAGAGATGTACGTGGGCATATTGATTTTATTCTCTCTGTCCCTTGATGGCCAAATAAGTGGATGAACAAATGACGTCATAGATTTGTGATTCTCCCTATTTTCTGATTTGCTCTCTGTAGTACAAAGGAAACCATTTCACATTACCGTTAAGCTTCAGTCATCATCACACTTTACACACACGTGCGCTGTTGCACGGCACTTTTGGCTGCTCTGCTGTCTCTTCGTAATTTTGCCACAAAGTGAAATAAATTGCGGCTGATCTTGACAGTTGAATTTCTGGCTCATTTTGTTGTACACTAAATTTCCTCTAAGCTGTTTCGCTACAGGCTGCTCTTTGTGATAAGCTTTTGTGCCTTCTGTTAAAAAAAAATTCAGGCCAAATTATGCTTTAAGAATATTTGCCATAGGCATATCGCTCTCTACTCAATTTTTTAAATGGGCTGATACGCCATTAGCATATTTCCCATGGTGCCGTGTTTTTACTCACTCTTTGAGTGATGTGATTGGTCCACGGTGAGGTGCAGTTGCTCAGATCTGGTCCCTTTGGATCCCAGTAGCCAAGCAAACAATTAAACGTGGCTACACCTGAAAAATAATAATATAGGAAAACATGAACACAGCACAAAGCACACACACACACACACACATTCGCTCAGGCATATGCGCATCCATACTGAGAGAAACATGGCCTTGCAATTGCTGTCAAACCAATCACACACATAAGCAGGGCAAGAGATTTACAAGCGAAACATAATGTGTCAATCCACAGCTGGCAGCTGCCCACATAATGAGGTGGCACTGACAGAACACCTGAACAAGCTAACCTCAGTAACAGGAAAGAGGTTTTTTTAAAGATTAATTCAACATACACAGAGGTAAATATACACCGCTCATAACTTTTACAAGTTTATGACCATATACAGTGGCTTGAACAAGTATTTGACATACTTAAGACAAACTTCAGACCCAAAAAAGGTTATTCTGTCATTATATACTAACAGTGATCAGTGTCACCATAAATGTGGTCCATTTGATGTGTACACTGTATTTGTGTGAGGAACTTTGTGTGAGGAACATACCAAAAGTCTATGTACATTAAGTTTTAATCTTATCCTACAATGCAGCATTTACTGTAAATCTCATTCATGCTCAGGTGTATTAAAAAATGGCCACTATTATGGTCCTTTTATGATTTATGATTTTTGGTCACCTTTTGGCTTCATAAAACTTTTTCATAAAACTTCATTAAAAAATGTATGCTTTTTATGGACATACAAAGCATAAAAATATTTTGCAAAATTTCTTTTTTTTAAATATTCCAGAGAAAAAAAGAAAGTCATACAGGTTTGGAATGACATTAGGGTGGGTAAATGATTACATAATTTTCATTTTTGGGTGAACTGCCCCTTCATTGTGAAATGTTTTGCAAATATTTTGGAATATTTATCTTTCTAATAATAAATGACACTTTGATTTGGTATTTTGTCACACAAGATATTCTGACATATTTAATTGTACCTTAAGTGTCCATATACTTTTAAGGGCCACTTTATTTAAGGTTATTAAAACTTGTAATTGTAAAGGTCGACTATGTAATTATGGTAACACCTTAGTATAGGGACCAATTCTCACTATTAACTAACTGCTTATTTGCATGCCTATTATTAACATATTGGCTGTTTTATTAGTATTTATAAAGCACATATTCTGCATGAACATATTCTGCATCCCTAATCCTACCCAATACCTAAACCTAACAGCTACCCTACTAACTATTAATAAGCAGCAAATTAGTAGTTTATTGAGGCAAAAGTTGCAGTTAATGGTTTATTAATGGTGAGAATTGGACCTTAAAATAAAGTGTGACCATAATTATTTGTACTGTGGTAATTCCTATTGTTGAACATAATTATAAAGATTTACTAATGATGAGTTTAGCTCTAAACACTGGGATGATAAATTAATTACAGGCTAGAATTACAAATTAATTCTTTCATTCATTTTATCAGGAGCCTTGCTGCGGTGTTGAAGTGTATCAGATCTTTCCAAGAGCACAATACACACACACACACATAGCAAAGCCTAAGCGCTGATGTATTCAATACACAGTAAACAAAATAAACCTCTATGCACACACTGCCCCTAATAATAGATTAATCACTCTCTTACTAACCTATGGTGCCAGGTGGGCACGGTTGCTTAGCAACCTGTCCCTGGTGTGTCCGTGGCCAGGAGATTTCAGCAGTGAGACGTGGGGCACAATAGTCAACAGCGACTGGAGTCTGCAGGGAGGGAGGTGACCGTGTCAGGGCTTCTGGGAGGATGTTGTTATGGCGGCGAGGCGGAGCCATGGTGGTTGTCGTGGTAGTAGTGAGAGAGGGGCGGAGCGTGCCCGTATATGGGCGTGGAGGAGTCATGGAGCTGCGTACTGGAGGAAGAGTATCAGGAAGCAAGACTGAAGAAGGAGGATCTGGAAGAAAGAGAGAGAGATATTTAATACTTACAATACAAATGAACGTGAGATTTTGTAATACACAGCCAAAACTGTTATTCTATTCTACACTCTTTTATTTCAAAAATAAATTACATAAAACTATACATATGTGTGTTTGTGTGTGTGTGTGTTAATTTTATATATTTAATTATATATTATACATAAAATAAAAAATGCCATGTAGCTGTCAAGTATTTATCAATTAAAATCACATTTTACAATTAATTTTACAATTTTCATATTTTTAAAGATAGATAGATAGATAGATAGATAGATATATAGATAGATAGATAGATAGATAGATAAATATTACAATTTTTATTATCATAAATATAACGATTATTTGTTATGATAATTCTATTAAATATTATATAAGTACTTATTCTATAATAAAAATGTTATGTATATGTAATATGAATAATTATTAATATAGTATAATATATTTAATATTATATATCATATATTATTTTAATATACATTAAAATGTGATGTATCTATCAATACATATATATAAAAATTATATATCCATTAAAAACACTAAAATACATTTATTTACATTTCACATGCATGTTTTTAAATATTACAAATTTAATTTTTGTACAGCTGCTGTTTAAGCACAGACATTTGCCCAAAGAATGCTGCTAAAACAGAGACATCTTCTATCTCTGTTTCTCTCTAGGCATCTCTGCTGTTTCAGGGATGACTGAATGAGTCAGGTTTCTGGAGAGTGTTTGTGTGTGTAAATGTGTGTCTTTGTGGCCTGTGCAGCAGTTGGGAGTGTATGTTTTGACAGGCTCGATCCCTGAGTGCAAGGACTTCAGAGAGGCAAAGATAGATGATGTTTAAACGTCATAACTCCCCACTGGCATGCTCTGTTCCTGTCTGTCTCTCTCTCAAACACACAAGCACACACCTGAGGGCCTGAATCAGGCATATAGCAGTCAAATGCATATATGTAACTTTGTTTATTGATATAAAGTGAGAAAGAATCAGTGTCGAAAGCTCAGGATATCACATGGTAGAGAGTAAACATCCCTTAAAGCCTGGGCTAGACTAAACTATGCTGTAAGAGTTCTGTCTACAATGCATGTACGTGTGGATAGACACGTACTAGCACACACAGAGAGAGCCGAAAAGTAGAACTAAAGAGATAGCTTCCCTCTCTTTTTTCGTTACTTTTTGTTTCTTAGTCCCTGTCTTTCTGTCTTGCAGTGTTTATCTGGAGATGCTCTTGTTGCCGCAGTGACTGCTGAAAAAAGGACAGAACTGTAAAGAGGTTTGATGAAGAACACTAGAGGACAGCTACTTTATTTCCATTTTCATGTTTGTCTGTGAATTGGCCATGGAGATGTACTTTAATAAAAAGTGGATATGAAAAGAATGCAGGAACAAGATTCCACAAGGCTCCATTCTAGGACCAATGGAAATGTTTTTTGAAAAACTGAAATACATAGTTTTATATACAGTATCTTGATATGTTTTCAGCCTTTGATTCAGTATAAATTTCTATATTTATGTTAGCTTATTAGCTCTGATTAGATGCACATCCTTGCAAAAAAACTAAAACTCAGAACTCTAAGTAATAAAACCCATTTAAAACATGGTGAAAAATAATCAAGGAATGTTTTTCACTGAATTAACAAAAATAAATATATTTATTTATTTATTTTTTCATTTATAGGCACCAGGATAACAAAAGAGACTAATAAACACAAAAATTACATAAATATATTTTTTACTAAAATATTTTAATATGCCTACATGAAAATCTGAATAACTAAATCAGAGCTTTGAAATTAATAAACTGACACAAACAGTTTGAACTGATTCACTGATTCACAAACTGTAAATAATCTAAACTGTAATTTTTATTGCAAAAGAATGTAAAAATCCTGCAGTAACAATCTGTTACGTGATTAACTGTGTTACTTAAATTTGGTAAATTTCTTATGCTAACCACAGCGGCATTTATTTGATATAATACAGCAAAAACAATAATATTGTGAAATGCTATTAGAATTAAAAATATCTGTTTTCTATTTAATGTGCATGTATGTATGTATGTAATGTCACATGATTCTTCAGAAATCATTCTAATATGCCGATGTGGAGCTCAAGAAACATTTTGTATTATTATCAACGTTGAAGAAAGGTTTTGCTTGTCTGGGTAGCAGGAACATCCCCGCAGTGCTACCTACATTGCAAATCCACCACTGACCCTGCCCTAATAGATGTAGCACATGATGTACTTGTCGGTGCATAAATTATACCTGAAAATGTGCACTAACAAAGCTGTGCAATCATAAGGCAGCGTGAGCCCTCGTTAGCAGTTCAGAACGAAAGATAGTTCCTCTTTCTTAGACTATATCCCACCAGACAGCTCTGGCTTATTATAGAGATGCACTGATCCAAATATCCCCTCACATCTCCTCTCATCACTTTTCCTGCCCTCTTTTCTCTTCGCTCTCTCCCCCACCTCCCTCTGTGCGGCAAATCTGACTGTGATTTTAAAGGGCCGCTGAGTGAAATGAAAGCACTTCCTGTTTCTATTTCTGTAACTGTCTGTGTGAGGAGCTACTGAGGCAAGACTCGGAAAGCAGCAGAGCATTCTACAGTGACTAATCGTTCACACACACGCTCACAGACAGGCATGGCACCCTCCCTTCATTTTTCTCACAGAAGCCATTAAATGACAAACCAGCTCTTTCATCCACCTTCCAAATCTTTCCATCGCTCCTTTCTTGCCGATGACCGCCTGTCTGCCGTGCCCTCCATGTCTCTAGATTGTCATCTCCGTGATACAGCCCACTCAGACACAATAGGGGTACAGATAGAGGGCAACGTGCGTGTTTTCCAACGGAAGAGGGTGCTTTGATTGGCGGCCGATCAAAGGAAGTATTCTATTCTCTGCATCGGTGGAAAGATGGCTGACTCACTCCTTGAGGGTAAAGGTCATTTATCCTCTATTACTCCAAACACTTTTAAAGGCAGCGTGACTTCAGAGTGGGCTTCCAGCGTGGTCTGTTAAGCCCATCTCTTCCTGTAGACTAACATGAAAGCAAAGGCAATATATAATTGGACATCTATTTCCGACAACTGGCTTCTTGGAAAAACGCTGTATGAAATCGGGTCATTTGATGTTTGGTCATACTTTCAGGTGTGACTGGAACGGCAAATCTTTTAGGGCTGCTCAACGCACACAGTCCTGTTAAATATGCCTCAGCCCACACAGAGACAGGAAACAATGTCACCTTGCTGATCAGGACCAGTCAGAATACAGCGTCATGGCAACCCCGCAGGGAATCAGTGATTGGTGCAAGTTTTGTGCTGCTATTTATTATGAGTTTTAAAACCTAGTAAAATTTCCATATTACAAAATTTTCCATCTAATTTAAGAAAGAATAGAGAGATAAAACAGTGTGTTATAGTAGTCCCATTTAAGTCAGACTTTAAATGTATGAATGTCTTTGCACTATATGTGACCCTGGAACACAAAACCAGTCATAAGGGTCAATTTTTTTGCAAAACAGCTGAATAAATAAGCTTTCCATTGATGTATGGTTTGTTAGGATAGGACAATATTTGGCCGAGATACAACTATTTGAAAATCTAGAAATCTGTACGGTAGGAAAATTACAAAATATCTTCATGGAACATAATCTTTAGAGCTAGATTTTTTATTTTTTATGCCAAAAATCATTAGGATATTAAGTAAAGATCATGTTCTGTTCCATGAAGATATTTTGTAAATTTCCTATATAATCAAAACTTAATTTTTGATTAGTAATATGTGTTGCTAAGGACTTCATTTGGATAACTTTAAAGGTGATTTTCTCAATATTTTGATTTTTTTTGCACCCTCAGATTCCAGATATTCAAATAGTTGTGTCTCGACCAAATATTGTCCTATCCTAACAAACCATACATCAATGGAAAACGTATTTATTCAGCTTTCAGATGATGTATAAATCTCAATTTTGAAAAATTGACACTTAAGACTGGTTTGTGGTCCAGTGTCACATATAAAAAATGTTTTAACACTTTAGTAACACTTTAGTATAGGGACCAATTCTCATTCTTAACTAGTTGCTTATTAGCATGCCTATTATTAACATATTAGCTGCTTATTATTACTTATAAAGCACATATTCTGCATGACCATATTATACATCCCTGATCCTACCTAGGAGTTTGAGGCAAAAGTCAGCAAGGGTGCACTGAACTGTTAATTTTACAAAAGATTTCTATTTCAAATAAATGGTTCTTCTTGACTTTCTATTTATTAAAAAATAGAAAAAAAAATCTGCTTCCACAAAAATATTACCTGTTTTCAAAATTGAAAATAAGAAAAGTTTTTTGAGCACCAAATCAGGGGTGTGTTTCCCACAATGATACACACTGCTTAACCACTTTAGTACAACACATTGATTGAGAAATTAACTAGTCATTCCTGTTTCCCGAAATTGTAGTAAATGTTCACACTGTGTTTATTCACATTGTGAACCACATTGGTTCAAATATAGGACTGTTATTAATCACATCACATGCAGGTTTCTCGATCACAAGCAATTCTAGATCACAATTAATGTCAGTTTGTCATGGTCGTGACGAGGAAGGCACACGAAGACAAAGATTAATTCAACAAGTAGTTTAATAGTATCCAGGAAGATAATCCACATAGACGAGGGGTTGACACACACCAATTTTAACGTAATACCGGACCAAGACTAAAACCAAAGAGTGAGCTTAAATAAGGCAGGAAGCTGATGACAAACAGGTGATGGGAATAACAAATGAGCACTAATGAAACAATGAACTAAACGAGGGCACAGAATAACTAAACAGACCTGGGGCCTGCTTCATAAAACAAGTTTATCAAATAAGCCAGGTTTATTTCAGTTAGTTTGACTTATTGTCAGTTGATTTTGTTCAAACTTAGTCAGAATAGCTGAAATAAGCCTGGTTTGTTTGGTAAA